TCCATAATCAGTCTTATCTTTTTAGTGTCACATGAAGAGTTATCTCTTTTTGTTCAATGTCACCTTGTAAATGTGATGTCTTTCTTAGACCTCCTTTAAAATGTTTCAACCCCTAACCTGGAATTTTATGTTTTCACTTTCTCTCTCAGGACTTAATCCTCATCAACTATAACAGGGTCTAATCTCTGTCATTTTAAAAGTTACCCTTCTTTTAATTTATTTTCCTCTCAGGTGTTCTTAAGCATGTTTGTGCTGAGAACCCTTTGAGATCTGATGAAGCCTATTGATCCTTTCTTGGAATAATGTTTGTAAACAAATAAGATATTTAGGTTTATCAAAGAATCCAGTTATATTGGCACAGTCAGCAATATAATAACCATAAATAATAAAGTCATATACATGCTTATTCATTGATGCTCCAGTGAACAAGTCTAGACTCAGATCTAGTAACTACCATAATTTTAGAATCATAATGAGCATAAATAATACTATGTAATACCAACAATAACCTTAAGGTAATATGTGATTTCTGAGCAAGTTGTGGTTACTGCTAATATTGCAGTTTGTTATCTAAGTTTCATTATTAAAAGAAATGCCATGTTCTTCACAGGTACCCAAAACCTAAAACACAATAAAATATTAAAAAAAGAAAGAAAGAAATGCAAAATTACAATTACAGATTAGTGAAAATACGTATGTTCCCAATCAAGTTCCCGAAATTCCATCCATGGATATCATGGAGGGAGCATGAACTCTCTGCCCCTCTCTTCACCATCACCATTGATTTTAATTCTCAAATTTGTTTTCTGCCTTGCTGGGATCTTACTTCTGCCCTACCTTTATTTTGACCTTATCTTGGGAAGAACCCCCCCAGTGGTGCCCCACATGTTGTGTAATCACATTCAATCAGTTCACATCTGATATGATCTTTGGAATCCACACTGTGAATATTCTTACCATGTGGAAAACCTCTCCTCCTTTCCCCCTCCTTCCTCAGTTGGCTGATGACTAAAACTTACTACTTCCTAATCATTGTGTCTGCTTCCCTGGTCTCTGCTCACCTTGAATTGTTTAGTTTACACATGGCTCTAAAATGTTTGCATCAAAGATAGCATGTCCTAATTACCCATTCTTTGAGGACAAAAACGCTTAGATGAACCTAAAAAGGGATGGGGAAGTTAATGTTAACAGAGTACTTGTCAGGATAGCGTCATGCAAAGCACTTACCATGAGATGTTTTATTCACGTCTTCCAGTGATTCATGAAGGTTGTTCCCACTTTGGAGAATACACTTGAGTAAACTGATATTCAGAATCATAAGTAACTTTCTCAAAGTCACATCACTGGGTGGTAGAACCAGGATTTAAATCCAGTTTACTGAAATTAGGTTTTCTGTATGTCATAATGTTCTCTCCATCTGAAGTCACATCTGCTTTGTTTAGGCAAAGCTTGGCTTGGGCAGTGAACAGGGGAGAAGAGCAGGGGTACAGGAATCATAGTTCTGATAATTCTGCTCAACGTCAGAGCCACCTTACTCCAATACCTAGGAAGTGTGTGTTCCAGCCTCATGCGGACAGCTCGAAACCATAGCAACAAATAAGTCAAGTCTCTTTGAGCATCTGACATAAGCTCAAAGGACATGTTTTGATGAAGGTAATTTCATCAGTGCAGACAGGTAACCTGGAAAACTTAGTCCCACTTCTACTAAAACCATTTTCTTTGCAAAAGGATATTTCTGTCAGATGATGACCTAAATTTCCCTCCTTGGCTCACTATGGAAGGTACAGGCTTGCCATGTCCATCCTCACTAAAAACGAATAACAAGATGGCCAAACTGAGGGTACAGTTTTGATGCCATCTGGGCGGCCTGGCAGTCCTCCTTCAGGTCAACCTGCTGGGGACATCTGCAAGCTCCACTCACCCCAGTGGCTTTCGTCACCAATCCTCTGCTTGTTGGTTGTTGATGACAGTGGAAAGCCTCATCTTTTGCAGAGAATGGAAGTTGGGGGGAATAAAAGGAGCTCAGGCTGTGGCGTTCATGCAGGACAGGCGTGCCCCAGAATGGAGAAATTCAAACACCAGCCGGTGGTGTTAAACAGTGACTTTTATTAGACAGTAACTTTTATTGAAGCAGCAGTGTACAGCGGCCACAGAGACACTTATGCTCCTTGCAGCAGGCTGCCTCATGGGCAGTGAGCCCAGAGTGGCAGCTCAGAGGCAATGCTGAACTCTTATTTCCACCAATGTTTAATTATATGCAAATGAAGAGGGAATTTATACAGAAATTTCCAGAATCAGAGTGGTAACTCCCAGGTGGTTGGGTCATTGACATGGAAAGAAATTGTAACTTCCAGGTGGCTGCCATGGCAATGGTAAACTGACATGGTGCGCTGATGGGTGTGTCTTAGAGAAAGCTGCTCCCACCAGGGACCTGTTGTAGCTAGTTCTCAATGTGGTCCAGTGTCAGAGCCCAGACTCCTGAGTCCAGTCCCGCCTCTTACATAAGAATCAGCCACATCCGGTTGAAAGCTGCCCTCTACCATGTGGAATTTAAATGTGTTATATACTCTCTCTGCACTTTAGATCCCTGACTATAAAGAACAGTTAATAAAGCCTGTTTTCATAAAGTCATTTTGGGGATCGAGTAAAGCAACAAACCTGAAGTGCCCATAGCTGTTTGTTAGGCAGAAGGCATTGGGTGAAGCTTAGATTATTTCCCCTCTAGTGTCTTAATATTTTTATCATATAATTAAGAGTCAGTGAAAATTGTCATAGACAGATAGATAGACACACACACATATGCATATATACCTGTCAGTAGTTAAATCTCACATAAAACTCTAATTGCAATATAGAAAATAACTTTTGTTGATTCTTGGACAAAAATAAATATTTTTTATTAATGCATGACATTCTTTTTAATACACTGACTTCAGTCAAGCTTTTACCTTTTTTTGGATAATCTAGAAGTTTCTTTTTTTCCTACATCCCAGCGCCATGCAAAGTGGGGCATTTAGTAAATGCTTTTGATGATGATAATAGGTTTGCCATTTTAAAGTATGGATAATTTGAGTCATAGAAAGGTTAAATAGCGTGCTTGAAACTATTGCATGCTCCCTTTCAGCCTGAAAGCCAGGACTCTAAGGGTATTCATCTCTCCCTGTGTCATAGTCTTTGATACTTCATAGATAATTGATAAACAAAGTCATTTCTTTTCTCAACAAAAGCTGTGTCTTCCTGGCTAAATTAAAGTTTCGGTAATCCAATTTATTCTCTTAACCCAACAGAGCAAGCAATTGATTTCATTTTCATTTTCAATCATGAAAACCTTGTCACATTTCCTTCTTGCTCTCTGAATTATTAGGTTTTGGTTCTTGTTTCCACATGCTTTATATGCACAAGTCAAGTGTAACCTGAAAGATATTAAAGCGGATTTGCAGTGAAATGGCACCTATCTAGGAAATTTGTCTTATTGCCTCTTGATTCCTCTTCTGTTTAATGTGCTTATTGGTGTTTTCCTAGGACTGTGCTGGTGCTGCGTGATGGCACATTTCTGCTGACAGCCCTGAACTTTCAGACAGATTCTCTGTGAATCAGGTGAGAGGGAGTCTTTAATTAACGTCCTAAGACTGTAATGGAAACAAAGAACAGGAAGGTTGTAAGATGGATCTGGCTGTCAAAACAAAATGAAATAAAAATCCCAAAGTTTTCTGCCCCGACAAGCAGCACTCTGTCCTGCACTGGGCTCTCTCCCACTCTTGTGCAGAAATAAGGGCCTAGACCTGAACCTGGAGACCACAGAGGAAAATTTAATATGGAAGAAAGCAATGAAACAACTTTCCACAGAAATACTCTACCCAGAGCACCCTAGTGCCTCATTCCTGCCTCTATCATTAGAGCTGCTTTCAAATCCCCAATGAACTTAAAGTCCCTTGGAAGGGCTTGAAAGCTTCTCAGGTAATTATGGCCTTGTGAGAAACAATCAAGCTGGAAAAAAGGTATTTCTGAAAGAATCCCCAAAGTAAGTCCCTGCCATTGTATCTGTTCTTTAGAGCGATAAGAGAAATTCGTGTTACACTTTAGGGAAACCTCTTTGGCAAAATAGCTTGAATGTCACAGCCCAAGGCTAGAATTCTCTTTCTTTAGGAAATAATATATTTCAGAATCAGCATATGACTTTGAACACAGCCTGGTAAATCCAGTTTTGTACTACAGAGAAATGTTAGCACCTGAGTTCAAGGACAGCTGTGGCTTTAGTACTTTCTTGTATATCCCTCCTTGTCCAGATTGCTCGCTGTGCTTCTTTCTGATTCACTGTGTTCTATTCCTCTTCCGAAAACTCATCTAAAACTTGATCATTTTAAGCAAATATGTATTGTACACTTACTATCTGCTAGGTATTGTCCTAGTTGCTGGAGATACAGGCATAACTTTAAAAAGCAAAAATCCCTGTCTTCATAAAAGAAAATTTTCTATTTTAATTACTCAAAACTCAATTGCCCCATTAAAGGTGCACATTTACGCAAAAAGAATATGCACTTGGCTCTATCTTCCTTCCCTTCTCCTTCCAGGTATGCTTTCCCCCGTACCCCTAACTGTCCATTCATCGCGGTGCAGAGACTGCAGCCTCTCTTGATTTCTCTCTGTGTCAGATACAAAGCCCTGCTCACCATAGATACTCAAAATCCAGGCATTCGGATATTATCTAATCTCCCTAAATGACATTCTTGTGACACACAGAGTGAGTGCTGTTGACTTGCTATTTTATATGCTTAAAACTTGAGTTGGCCCTCTTAAATGGCTTGACCAAGAAAACAAAGCAAGTGGTCAAGCTGAGACAAGATCATGAATCTTTGGCTTTCCATCCGAATTACAGAGCAAAAGAAAAAAGGAAACGGAGATTTTCCTTCCAAGCTTGCAAAAACTGCTGTAAGGATTGGATTTCATAAGATCCCAAGCCTATTGAAATATTGTCATCTGTAATAACACCACTTATATGATTATCATTTTGCATTTTTCATTTATTCATTCATTCAACAACAAATACCACCACATGCTGGACTCCCAGGAAATGAGGCTGCAGTGGTGAGCAAGACAGATACAATGCCGGCCTTCAGGGACCTGGTCTGTTTTCTTATCTGATTGTCTAAGATCTTTTCAGGAAGTTTGGTAACCTCTGTGATCCCTCGGCAGTGTAGCTTCATGCTCAAGGCTCTGAAGGTTATTAACTGCAAAACAGAAGGCAACATAATGAACTCTTCAAGCGTTCTTATATGCATAACAGTGTTGAAAATATTATCCACCTGATGGGGTGTAGCAGTCAGGACTCAGCATAAAGATATTCCAGGAACTGGCTCACACCATTGTGGCAGCGAAGGAAGTCCAAAGTCCTTGCGTGGCTTAAAGGAAGGTGATGAGCAGCTGAACCCCATGAACAGGAGCTGAAGCTTGCCACCTTCAGCTTCAGGGTAGGTGGCAAAACTTCCTTCCACAGTTAAGAAGGAAGATAAGGAGGAAGGAGCAGTCACGGGTCTAGGCACTGTTGGGAATTGTTGAGCTCAAGGAAGAAGGCCTACAACCTCTTTCATTACAGTCCTTTTAACTGTTTTCAGGCCTACCTAGTATAATCTCCCTTTTGATTAGCATAAAGTCAGTTGATTAAAGACTTTAATTATAACTACAAAACCCCTTTACAGTAGCACCTAGACTAGTCTTTGAATAGTGGAGACAAGGTACGTGTGCTACAAAATAGCTGTGCCTCCCTCAACCTTCCAGGGCTCAGGGGAAAGAAAGGATGTTACTGCCCTAACCAGATCACCTAAGAAAAGGAATTCCGGGTGACACAGGATCAATAAAATCCTAGTCAAGGTGACACATCAAAAACCCATCATATGGGGTTGGTGTGAGGATTAAGGAGGACCTGTATGTAAAACATCTGGATTACATACAATAACAAATTACCACTTAGCAGAACACCAAATTCAGCTCAGGAAGAGAAAAAAGTAGCGCTTCCTCCATCAGAAACCTTTCTTCTTGCCATGGTTTCTGTGCAACTTGTGTTGCTTTTCTAGGTTGAGTCAGAACACAGGTGCACACATTAAAAGAAAAAAAAAAACATGCCACAGCTGTAAGTATAGGCAGGTTTGCAGTGAGATGGTCAAACACATCTAAGGTTCCCGGGCAAGTAAGTCAGAGCAGAGAGATCCCTGGCCTAAGATGGAGCAGGGGATTATTACCCAGGTGAAGCCTCAGGTCATCTCACCTGCAGGCTGTGTGCACCATACGTCTTCCCAAACAGTCCATGTCTTTCTGAGCTTCTAAAAATCTGACTCTCATGTAAATCTTTGCATTGTTCTCTCTCCTGATATGCTTTATCAACAGGATTTCTCACTGGAAACATTTTATTACTTCCTTTCAGGTGACTGTTGTTACACATTCAAAAATTGTAAAATACTTTCAATAATTCAAGAGAAGTTAAGCTTGGGTAGGTTAGGGAAATATTTGCATGGTTAAACATGAACCACAAACACTATTTCTCCACCCACCATTCTTATAGTAAACAGACATAAAATCACTTAGAACTTGAACAAATTGTCAACACAAATTAATTAACTTGCTCCAACTTAGGCAGTGAAACAGAAATAGGAATTTACCTTGTCTAGGCTCAGCCTCCTCCCTAGACATCATCCCAGGATGTGGATCTGCTAGAACACCACTGACATTGGCCAGACATTGGCTTTGAACTGATCTCATCCTGTCTTCTCCTGGCTCCCTAAGCCTTGAGCAACTAAACTTTAAAATATTCACATTCCAGAATGTCAATCAAAATGGTACCCCAAAGTATAAGCTATCCAGTTTTGTGCTTATAAACCTTGAGTCTTTAAAATATATCTGAAATTCAATCATCTTCAAGTCACTGAACAAATATTTATTAGACTCTTATGTGTCGGAAATTCTTTTTGATGCTGAGAACAGCACCAACAGGGTTCCTGCTCTCAGGAGGCTTATACTCCAGTGAAACTCCACAGACATTACACTAGTAAACAAATGTTGAACAATTCAAACTGGGGTGAGCACTACTAAGGACAGGAATAGGCTGATGCGGTGATAAGTTATGACTCTAAGTTATAACTTAAAAATGCTGAGGAGACTCGTTATTCAAACAAGCCCAATTGGATATGCTTCCATAACATAGATAATTTATTAGTAACATCAAGAATTCTATATATTTGATGCATTTTGCTCAGAAGTTAAGTCCCTGTATAACCATGCTTTTTAATTGACAAAAAATTGTACATATTAACTGTGTTTTGAAGTATATATATGCATTTTTATATATGCATTATGAAATAGTTAAATCTAGTTAATTAACAAATGCAATACCTCACAGAGTTGTTTTTCTGGTGAGAACACTTAACATCCTTTCTCTGCCTTTTTAAAATTAACTATAGATATTTTTTCACTAATTGCAGTAGGAACATACATGATATCTGTCCTCTTAACAAGATGTTAAGTGTATAGTATTGTACGGTGAACTATTGTGATGCAGTAGATATCTAGGACTTATTCATGTTGAATAACTGAAACTTGTACACTTTGACTAATGCCTATTCCCCCTCATCCAGCCTCTGGCAACCACCATCCTATACTCCGCTTCTATGAGTTTGACCATTTTAGATTCCTCATATAGGAGGTATGATGAGATATTTATCTTTGTGATGGGCTTTTTTAACATCATGTTCTCAGGGTTCATCCATGTTGTTGCATCTGGCAAGATATCTATTTATTTAAGGCTGAATAATATTCCATTGTGTGGATGTACTATATTTTCTTCATTCATTCATCTGTTGATGTGCATTTAGGTTGGTATTTTTCCCTTGGCTATTGTGAACAGTGCTATAATAAACAAGGGAGTGCAGATATCTCTTTGATACCCTGATTTCATTTTCTCTGGAGATATAACCAATAGTGAGATTGCTGGATCGTATGGTAGTTCTATTTTTAATTTTTTGAGAAACCTTCATACTCTTTTCCATAATGGCTGTACTAATTTACATTCTCACCAACAGTATGCAAAGGTTTCCTTTTCTCCACATCTTCACCAATACTTGTTATCTTTTATTTTTGTTCATTTGCTTTCTGAGACATGGTCTCCCTATGCTGTCCAGACTGAGGTGCAGAGGTGCAGTAATGGCTCATTACAGCCTCAAACTCCTGGGATCAAGCAACCTCCCTCCTCAGCCTCCTGAGTAGCTGGGACTATACATGCATGCCAGCACTCCCAGGTATTTTTTTTTTAATTTTTTATAGAGACAGGGTTTCACTTTTTCACTCAGGCTGGTCCTGAATACCTGATTTTAAGTGATTCTCCCTCCTCAGTCTCCCAAAGTGCTGGGATTATAGGTGTGAGCCACCATACCCCACATATCTTTTGTATTTTTGATAATAGCCATTCTAACGGGTATGAGGCGATATCGCATTGTGGTGTTAGTTTATACCTCCCTGATGATTGGTTTACACCTCCTGATGACTACAGACACATATACACATGGTCCATGGGTATATCAAAAGATGCTTAACACCTTCCCACCCCTTTGCCATGGTGATTGACCTAATCAGAGCCAATGAAACCCAGAAGGAAATGGGATTCCTGTGGCCCAGATGCTTCTGGCCAAGTCCCAGTGGCCACTCACTTCTTGCATCAATGTGATCTGAACGTAAGACATAGAGTCAAAGGAGATCGTTTTGAAGCTTTCAGATTTGACTGCCATGGATGATGGCAGGCAGAAGGAGAGCTTGTGCAGGAACACTCTCCCTTACAAAACCATCAGATTCCATGAGACTTATTCACTCTCATGAGAACAGCACAGGGAAGACCCTCCCCCGTAATTCAATTACCTCCCACAAGGTCCCACCCATAACACATGAGAACTGTGGGAGCTACAATTCAAGATGAGATTTGGTGGGGACATAGCCAAACCATATCAGAGCTCAGTTTTGTTTCTTACTCAAATCTACACAAGTCTGACATTTTTGTACTCTAGGTCCTTAGATATTTTTCTCAGTGGCTAGTGCATACTAATAGTCAAAACATTTTATATGAAACAAGCTTGATTTTATTTTTCAACATAGTGTATTAGCCCATTCATCAAAACTATACACAAAACTAGGCAGCATTCCTAGTGAAAAATAATTCATTAGGAAGATGTATACTAATGTGATTGCCACAACAATTCAACCTCGGCCAAAAAATTAACTCTCAATTTTCTTTGATACAATTACATACATATTTCTCATCTTTAAATATATATATATATATATATCAACATATTCACATTACAAAAAGAATTAAGAGGCTGGGCGCAGTGGCTCATGCCCATAATCCCAACACTTTGGGAGGCTGAGGCGGGCGGATCACGAGGTCAGGAGTTCGAGACCAGTCTGGCCAACATAGTGAAACCTTGTCTCAACTAAAAAAATACAAAATATTAGGCAAGTGTGGTGGTGTATGTCTGTAATCCCAACTACTCGGAAGGCTGAGGCAGGAGAATCACATGAACCCAGGAGGCGGAGATTGCAGTGAGCTGAGATCGTAGTATTGCAGTCTAGCCCGGGGGACAGTATGAGACTGCATCTCAAAAAAATAAAATTGAGAAAAATAGTCCCCAGAGGATTTCCTTAGGACACAAATTCTCTTTTCCACATTAGGTTTCTGTTTGGAATTGTGAAATGAGTCAACCTTGCAGTAAATGCTTTTTATCCCTTATTTCATTTAATCTTCTCAACAAACCTCTGACAAAATTGTCATCATCCTCACGATCAACATTCTTATTTCTTGATCTATAGATAAGAAAGGTCACGTAATTCGTCGAAGCTCAAATAAGACAAAACAGTCATCTTAACTATAGCCTTTTGACTCAAAATCCTGAATTCCCCACCTAGATTTTACAATATGTCATCTACCTCTCTAAAGCACTTGCTTTCTATTTTGTATTAGAAACTCTTGTATACATATTGCAATAATTCATTTTGTGTGTCATCTTGACTGGGTCATAGAATTCCCAGATATTTGGCTAAAGATTATTTCTGGATGTGTCTGTGAGGTATTACCATTTGAATTGGTAAACTCAGTAAAACAGATGGCCCTCCTCATCACTGGATGATATGGGAGGGCATCGGCCAATCTCGAGGGCCTGAATAGAACAAAAGGTGAAGTAAGGAGAATTTG